GATTGGAATTGGGTGTTTGTTGTTGTTTGATTTTACTGAAATTGATACGAACAACATAAGTGACTGTTGAATAAGTTTCTATATCCTCCCTGTTTCGGCATCCTGCTCCTACTTATATATGGAGACATTATGGATGGATAAACTCTCCGTTCTTTTGGGTTTTGGCTCATAATAATGTTTCCTTTTCTATTTTTTTTAAATTATATTTCGTTTACTGTTTTAAATTGATAGTGATTATGTAGACTTGTGGTCAGCTGTTATTGGCTGTGGGACATATACCGTTGTTTCCATAAAATTCATTTGTTTTTTCAACTTGATAGTTCGTATCTGGTTTTAAGGAAAGTTGGTGTCAATTGGGTTCATTGAAGTGTTTTTTTTTTTTTTTTTTCCTGGAGGGATCATGCAAAATAAACGACCTTTTAGCAATTTATATTGCTATGTATATATGATTACTGCTCTGTCACAAACTGTTTTGCAGGTAAAAGTTCAAACTTGGATTGATGGAGTTGAGGCAAATGAGTTTGTTGGTGTGGGTGCTAGATTTGGAACTACGATTGTTTCAAAGGAGAAAAATGCACAGCAAACTCGCCTTGTTCTTTCTGATCCTCGCGATTGTTGCAGCAAACCAAAAAAGAAGGTTTTATGTTTAAACTATATTATCTTGACATTCATGGTCACACGTATCAAACATATACATTATAGGTTTGTCAACATCAATTTCACATTTTGCTTTTTTGCTTTTGTTTAGCTTACTGGAGATGTCATCATGGTTGACCGAGGCCAATGCAAATTCACAACTAAGGCAAATATTGCCCAAGCTGCCAATGCTTCTGCTGTCCTCATTATAAATAACCAGAAGGGTAAGAATTTTATGTTTCTGCAGTATGATATGTAGCATTATGTAGCAATGATGCGTTCAGAAAGCTGATGTGTAGCATTATGTAGCAATGATGCGTTCAGAAAGCTTGAGTATCTAAATATTTTATCTGCGAGTGTGTGTGTGTATGTATTCTTGTTGTTGTACTGCTTAGAGAGATTGAAACTATCATCTAGAGACTAGTTTTCGAGATTTCAATTTGGTATATATGATGGTTGAAACATGGAAATATAACAAGCGGAAATAAAATGCATTACAACCATTTTCATTTCATATCAAACTTGTCTCTTTTTTTTTTTTTTGCAGAACTTTACAAGATGGTGTGTGAGCCAGATGAAACTGCTCTAGATATTCACATACCAACAGTCATGCTCCCACAGGATGCGGGTTCGACCTTGGAAAAGATGTTAATGAGCAATTCATTGGGTAAGGTTCTTTACCCTCAGGTGATTTCTAAGCTACAAAAGTTTGTAACAGTTCTCTGGGTATGGGTTTTTTTTGGTTTCTTATTCTATACCTTGCTTATCCATTTGTCTCATCTGTTTGTACTTTCCACTCAGGTTTCAGGTTGCAAATAATTTTAGAACTTTTGTTGGGTATACTATACATTTGTACCTAATACCTTTACCGGATAGCTTTCTAATTGTAGGCTCTCTGCAGTGTCTGTGCAGCTGTACTCTCCAAAGCGACCTGTAGTTGACATTGCAGAAGTATTTTTATGGTTGATGGCAGTCGGCACCATCTTGTGTGCATCCTTTTGGTCTGCATGGAGTGCCAGAGAAGCAGCTATTGAACATGAAAGGCTATTAAAGGTCTCCTTTTCCCAACCTTAGCTAAATAGTTGTAGGTTTATACGTTCCCTCGCAGAGTGTTGTTCTACTGACAGTTCGTTGTAAGTATTGACTTCAACATAATCTTGTCTTGTAGGATGCTGCTGATGAAATCCCATGTGCCAAAACTCCTTTAGGTGCTAGTGTAGTAGACATCAGCACAACATCAGCAGTCTTGTTTGTTGTTATTGCTTCATGCTTCTTGGTTATACTGTACAAGCTTATGTCATCCTGGTTCGTCGTGCTTTTGGTGGTTCTTTTCTGCATAGGTGGTGTAGAGGTATGAGTCCTCCCATTTCTAAATAGCGATACAATATACCTCTGCATGCTCACTTATATACTTACACAAAGCATTTATCTCTCAAGTTCCCTGCACAGTAGACATTTACATTCTGAAGTTGTGCAGGCTGTAGTTTTGTAATGTTAACGTATTTGACATTATATATTTTTGTGCTTATTTCTTTATCGAATGATTATATCTAACTTCATCAATATTTATATCCAGGGATTGCAAACTTGCTTGGTTGCATTGTTGTTGAGGTACAGTTTATTTCATCTCTTATTGAAACAATCTCTGACACTTTATTATGACTCTCCTTTTGGTCACCTGACTAATGAACAGTGCGCTTGCAGGCCATCAGTTTTTGTCTATTTATTTTTCAGTGTCTCTGTGTGGCTGTATGCATGGGGGCAAATCAAAATTTTAACGGAATGCTTCTTTATGTCCCTTTTATCTGGGGATGGTTTATCATAAGATTATTGGGAAGTTGTTATTCTTCTGATATTCTGATTCTCTGAATATTTTCTAGAACATTATTCAAGACACAATCTCGAGTTCTGGTTTAATTTGACTAAATAATTTCAGTAAAGTCAGACCAGAAAACTGGTGGCAGTGGCAGTGTACATTGAATGAGTCACCCAGTGTTAACTTGCTTTAAGGTCTTAAACTAATTATACATTTTCGCAGGTGGTTCAAACGTACTGGAGAATTGTACGTAAAAGTACCTATCTTGGGAGCAGTCTCATACCTAACTTTAGCTGTTTCTCCGTTCTGCATAACATTTGCTGTTCTTTGGGGAGTTTATCGCAACCTTTCCTTTGCCTGGATTGGTCAAGATATACTTGTAAGATTATTTGTCCTATCAAAAGAATTTTTCCCAATGGCATCATAGATTTTGCCCCTTCTTTCTTGAACTTAAAGCCATGCAGTATAGATTTTGTCTCAACTAATGTCTCAACTAATGGTGGCTTTAATTTTAATGAATCTTTGATCAGGGAATCGCATTGATAATCACAGTTCTTCAAATTGTTCGAATACCTAATCTGAAGGTAATACTTCGAACTTGTATGTTTTACTGGTATTCCTCATTTTGGCTCGAAATTATTTTGTGGTTGGTAAAAACATAGTAGGCAATTCGTTTTCCAAACACTCTAAATCACTGCTCATTTGTGGAACTAATTGACTGTAATTATGGGGTTGTAGCATTTAAAGTACAGGGTGTCCACGTGTGCAGCTGAATATCTCTGCGTTTGAAAATTTCTACTGGAATTTGATTGACTTCAAGTATTTACACGTATTCTTCTTTTTGATTTGCTATGGTGTCTCTACTCTACTGAATCAGGAATTTCAGATGTGTGTATTTCTTCCTTAACATTGTCTAGTCATTCCAAAAGTTGATAAAAAAAAAACACTTGTCTTTTGACATTGGATGGTAGCTGTTAATCTCAAAAGCTTTAATGAGAAGATACCAGATAGTATATAATATACATGCGTAAGCGTTCCTAGAAACTGATGAGAGGTGGTTTTGTTAATTAGGTGGGTACGGTCCTCCTCAGTTGTGCCTTCTTGTATGACATATTTTGGGTGTTGTTTCGAAGAAGTTGTTCCATGAAAGCGTGATGATTGTGGTAAGTGATCCTTGCATGTTTCTCTACTTGCTTCATTTAAAGCCCCTATGATATAAACATTTCATTTTTGAAGGATTTGAAATGCCTGAGAATCATTTTAACGGCTTGGTCTCCCTTTTACAGGTAGCTCGTGGTGACAAAAGTGGAGAGGATGGTATTCCAATGCTACTAAAGATCCCACGCATGTTCGACCCATGGGGTGGTTTCAGCATCATAGGATTTGGTGACATCCTATTACCAGGCCTGCTTGTAGCATTCTCGCTCAGGTTTAATCTCTACGTCCTATCCCCAATTTGCAAAAAGACTTGTTATCAGCATTTCTCCATGTGTCAAATCTTGGCGCTGTTTATATGCAGTGGAATAATAAATTTACGACTATTAATGGTTTTTCCAGGTATGATTGGTTGGCAAATAAGACTCTCCGTGCTGGATACTTCATTTGGGCAATGATTGCTTATGGATTAGGTAAGATATAATGAAGAGAGTTTTTCGACAGCTACTTTAAGGTTTTAGACGTGTTTCCCGGAAGAAAAACATGATGTTTCACATTCTTTGGCAGGTCTTCTCATCACGTATGTGGCATTAAACTTGATGGATGGGCATGGCCAACCAGCACTTCTTTACATTGTTCCATTTACACTAGGTAAATCCCTTTCTTTCTCGTTCACCATAAACCTAGTCCAATGCACTTTGCCATTTAAAGGTTAAACACATGAATAAAAACGAAGGGCATCACACGTGCAATAGTTCTCTCTTATCAAGCGATCAAGAACCAGTGCGGATACTTTATTTCCGTATAATATTGGGATGCTAGATGGTGTGGTTTTAAGTTAAACTGATCAAAATTTACACTCCAATGCAGGCACTTTGTTGACATTAGGTAAGAAGAGAGGTGACTTGCAGATTCTGTGGTCTAGAGGAGAACCGGAATGGCCCTGCCCACATATTGAGCTTGAAGGCAGTCACGAAGTGAACGAATAAAAGTAATTAGAAACCATTTTCGTGTATGATATTTTAGTGTTGGCATTGTATAATTACAAGAAATCTGGTAAAGATCCGACAAGAGCTTCGCCTAATTTGGTAACGTTGTATGCAAGTTTATTGCTCATTAAATTGAACGAGGGCGCTCTCTTACCAATAACCGCGTTCATTCAGCATCGTCGATTGTCAACTTGATGAATGGTAAAGCAAGATGGATAGCAATTTTGCTGAGTTTTATTGACATAAGCAAGGAACCTATGGAAACTTCGAAATCATATGTACTTTCAACCAAGCAACAACACAAGTGCAAAAGACATATAAAGGGTACAAACGACGATAAATATTAGAATTCATCATGACCGTGACGATGTCCAGCGGTCTCACTGTACGTCAAGGGTTAGCACCTATCTCGCGTAGAGGAGCATCGCGATGCCCCGTCGCTGAACCATGTCTGCTTCAACACTGTCAACTACGAAGGGACGATTGTTGACAGTAGTGAGCTGAATAGTCCTATTGAAGCGTTTTCCATTGGCTGGTACCTTCTGGATCTGCTCCGAGAGAGCAGACCAATTGGTTTCCAGGCTCCGCATTGCAGGGTCTGGTATATAAGGAGGGTTGTCTATCCCCATTCTAGTGCCGACTTGACTCTCAATGTACCGGAACCTTGCCGCTTCCGAGACCATCTGAATGATCACAATAAACGCCGCGGCTTGGTCTGAGTGGGATGCCGCATAGTGCAACTTACTGATGGCGTTATCGAGTTCATTGCGTCCCAGAGGAATTTGCTCAAGCATAGGTATATCCTCATGTATACGTGACCCTGGGTTACGAGCACCTGATGCACTCGGTTGCGCTGTACGTCGTGCATATGCTCCAAGTGCGGGGTAGTCTCCGGTGAAGGGCAGCATAGTCCGCGTGGACTGCGCGGCGCCGGGGGCGGTGGGGAATAATATGTGCGTTGGAGCCGGATTTTCAGCGTTATTTGCAAGTATGTAGGATTTATTACCAGAACGATATCCCACCACATAAACGTTTACTACATCGATGGCGACCCTGATGGTGTCGCCGTTATAGTTGGTGAGATCAACATAAAGAAAGCGCTGCGCGTCTGACACGTCTTCTCTTCGGGGCAGCACCGGTATACCATGTGATGTGGGTCGTCCGGCTGTGAGTCGGGCTCGTAGTGCTTCGATGAATGCTGTGTATGTCTTAGGGGTTGCATTCAAAAGAGAGAGGGCAAGTGCCATATTAAAGCAAGAACAAGGAAAATTGTATCAAAAACTATCCTCGTTCTATTTGAGGGATTTGTGTTATTTGATGAGGAGCGTTGATACATACATATATATATATATATATATATATGTGTGTGTGTGTGTGTGTGTGTGACGCAACCTTGGCTGACAGCACTAATGTGACAGAGGATTTTTTAATTAAGAAAATCTATTACAATCCTTTTTTTTCTTCTCCTGAAAAAGACTTTATTAAATTTTAATTGAAATGTTTAAATCGTCAACTAAGATATTAAAATAAATTTCAAAACTAATACAATCTCATTTAAAAAACTTATAATTTTTTGAATAAACGCTGCCCAGAATATTTCTTTATTAGCGAACAAACTCGAATAAACAGACCCCACATCATTTGTAATAGCCCAAATAAATTCAGGAGCATCAGCACCAAACTCCTTCCTTATCATCCTAATAAATTCACGAGCATCAGAGTCTATGATAATGCTTGACAAACCATGTCTGCTGCACTCCTCCAATCCTTTACTCCTAGAATAAAATCATGTATAAGATCAAAAACTAACTCTAGTCTGTGGCTTTTAATTGTAATTTTTGAATATTAATTAGGTTTAGAATAATTATTGAGTTTTTTTATGTGTAGGTTATATATTGATTCCCATAGACAATAAAAATGTTATTTATCACTGATAAGTGTTTATAAGTTCCCATAATAAAACAAGTCATATACTTTTACCTATTCTTCCTTGTGCATAAATTTCTCTATATATGTATTTGATTATTATGTACTTATGATGTTTAGATATTGAGTTAAATACCGATATATTCGTAAAAATTATGTATCGATATATTCGTATTGAAACTTATGTACTGATACATTCATACTGAAGTTTACGTAACATTACATTCATAAGGAAGCTTATGAACCGATACTTTTTAACCTATGAGCTTTTTATAAAGGGAGTTTTAACAAAACACTCTCGGTACTGTTCACTTTTAACGAAAAATCACATTTTTATCTTTAACTATCACTATTTATTATACCTTTAAAAATAGCTTTTCATTAAAAATGAAGTTTTTTTAGACTTTTCGTTAGTTTTCTTTTTTATAAATTGTTTTTATTTGTTGTTAACTTTTTATGTATAAAAATTTAAATTGAATTTGTTTTTATCCATTAATATGATTGGAGCACAAAAAAGTAGGTTACTTTTGTATGAATATATAATTTCTGATGGTAAGTTAATAAATATTGAATGTGCTATAAATATCTAAATATGATAAGTTTTGAACAAAGGACTTGAATTTGATTTAGAAAATCGTTCAGGTTATTATTTTACATTACATTAAAAAAAGAAAAAAATATTTGAATTCGACACGTCTATAAAATGAGACCTAGCTGAATTGGTCGCCCTTTGGGGTTGGGATAAGTTGAACTTTTTGCTTCTTCAACTCCGAAATCTTTTAAATTTTATGGCAGACCAAATGATAATCCACTACACATGTGCATGGAAACACATGTACATCTTCAGAACCGTTGGATTCTCTTTGAAAACAATATATGCTTAACAAATTTCAAAAAGTAGCAGCAGACACGGATGTATACCGTTTCTTAACACGTTGGCCTGCGGTGCAGTGTACCTAATACCATTTTAAAAGAATATCATCTTCTCTAATTCGGAATTGGATCCTCCTCTAAGCCCAAGATAGGATTCTCCTGATCAAAGAATGTGGACCGTTAGATTTTCATTCAACGGTTATAATTATTATAATTTTAAAGAAATCCTTATTTGTTGTAACCGTTGGATAAAAATTCAACAGCCCCCATTCCTTGGTCTGGAGGATCCTCTCCTTGGGCTAAAGAGAGGATCTAAATCCTCCTTGGGCTCAGGAGAGGATCTAATTCCCTCTAATTCTATCAATGCATTTGGTCCGCATTTATCAGAAGTATCTTCTTAATACATTGTTCGGAAAAGCGGTTTAGGCGCTAAGCGAAGGGTGGGTGGGCATTCTGATTAGGACTTTGGCATTTAAAAGAGGAAAACTAACGAAAAGTTCAAAACAAAAATTTTAATGAAAAATGACAAATAAATGTGTAGTGAATAGTACCAAGAAAAGGTAAAAATGTGGTTTTTCGTTAAAAGTGAACAGTACCAAAAGTGTTTCTTTAAAATTCCCTTTAAAAAATCGATGAAGTCTGTAGGAAGCGATTAGGCGTATTTAATTTTTTTTAGGTTAAAGGGTTTAAAGATGTAAAATAACTTTGGAGTTTTGTTTCTTGCAAAATAACTCGCAATACATGTTCATTATTGATTCAATTGTTTAGATTTGTAGAGTGCCAGTAACAATTTATTATGTATATATTTGAAGTATAAACCTTCTAAGTAGTCGCCTATTTATATATTTTTATTGTTATATAATAAAGGAGAAATTAGGTTTATATCATTTTTTTTGCTACTCCATTGATTAAAATCTTATTCATTTTCAATTTTTGATCAAGGTCATTGGGTATTAATAACATCATTAATTATTTGAATAATAAAATATTTTTTATTTTTAAATATATTCCTTTAGTGTTAAAAATGTTACAATTAGTATATTTTATATTCATGTCTACATTTTTTATCAAATATTTTTATTTTTAGTTTGTACCAATTTTTTTTTTCATTTTTAATTTGTACCCATATATTAGTTTATTTTTGTGCCCATATTTTTTAAAGTTTTATTTGTGTTTGTACCTATGTTTATACCGTCACGTGACATTGTACATTTAATTAATGATAGAAAAATTACATATGGTATATTTATGTTTTATGCCTAAACTTTGTATCATGTATTTATATTTTTAGTTTGGACCCACTTTTAATTTGCAACATTTTTTAAAATTTGTAGTATTTTCTTTTTAGTTTTATTTTGTACCCATGTATTAATTTCTTATAGAGCCTATATTTTAAAAAAATTCATTTGTACTAATAATTTTTTAATCTTTTACATGCACCCTAATTTATTTATAATGTACCCATTCTTCTTTATTAATGTACCGCTTTGCACATAGTACGGGTTGTACATTTCATCACCTGGTTGGTGACATGAAGGAGAGTACGGGTTGTACATTTCATCACCTGGCTGGTGTCATGAGTGGCAAGTTGCCAAATGATATTAGAGTACAGGTTGTACATTTCATCACTTGGTTGGTGGCATGAAGAAGAGTACGGGTTGTACATTTCATCACCTGGTTGGTGGCATGAAGATGAGTTCCTTCTTCACCTGGTTGGTGGCATGAGTGGCAAGTTGCCAAATGATATTAGAGTACGGGTTGTACATTTCATCACCTGGTTGGTGGCATGAAGGAGAGTAAAGGTTGTATATTTCATCACCTGGTTGGTGAGAATAAAGGCAAGGTGTCTAGGCACATTGGAGCAAGTGTCGGATGATACAAAATATGTTGAACCCTTTCAAAGCACAGTTGGCTTATGTATGAATGTGTTGGAATGTATGATTAAACGAATATACTGTGAAGCTGTTCATTTATTTATATAGTCTTGTTGACATATATTTAGACTTTGTTTCATGTTGGAAGCATTCATGTTGAAGCTTTGAACCCGAGTGTTTCATTGCTAGGAATGTAAGAGGATTAGGATCGAGTTGTCTAAATCACCTCTTTATTGAATTCATGCCAAATAGTCTTCGTTAAATAGGATGCCGAACGGCTGAAGCTTAACATTTGTACAATGTGAGTTTACTTGTAATAGTACTTCAAGTGATCAGCATTCCATGGATGGCCAAGGGTCATGCCATCAGAGCTTCTAAGCTTGTAGGAGCAAGGGCGACTGATGCCAACAACTTTAAACGGTCCATCCCATTTTGGAAAAGTGTTCCTTTACTCGGGACTCTGTCGCAGAGTAATCTTTTCTTCAATACCCAGTCCCTCACTTTGAAAGAACAAGGTTTGACCCTTGAGTCATAGTAGTTGGAGATGTGCTACTTGAAGGATTTATTTTGAAAAACATGTTCATTTGAGCAACATCATATAGCATGCAATTAACAATTAAAGGCGGAATCATGCTTGCATGCACTCAAAAACAAAACATTACCATGAAATTCAAAGCCTAGTAGATTGGTGAACCAATAATCAACTCAAAACAAAGTGAGTTGAAATTATTACCTTTGTAGATTCCTCTTTGCATAAGCAAAGGCTAATCACCCAAAGAGATAGGGCCTTCATTCCTTGCTTCTTAGATCCATGGATTTGGATGGAAAATAGGTTTCTCCAAGTTCCCAAAATAGGGAACCTCTAAGTCTCTTCACCAAGGTTTGATTGTAGAAGAAATGAGTGACCTTGGAGTAGTAGGATTGCTAGATGTACCCTCCAAGGTGTTGGCCTCTTTAGAGAGAAAATGGAGAGACAATTCTCACCAATTTTCCCCCAAAATAAACCCTTAATTTTTCCTTAATGAATTTTGGCTATAAAGTCATTTATATAGTCACTTCTTTAAGTAACCTAAACAACCAAAACCCTAATTCATCTAATATGGCCGGCCATTTAGGGATGTTTGGGCTTTTGGGCTTTAATGAATCTTTATTCATTAAATTGTCATACAACTTAAGTTAATGGGCTTGACGTTCGAAGCCCATTGGGCCTTAAGGTCCAAAACTATCCCGAAGTCTTTAACGAACTTATTCGTTTGATTAATTAACATATTAATTAATCCTTGCCATAAATAAATGATTAAACCATTTAATCATTCTTACTCATTTCCGTTTAATCTCCAATCTCTACCTTTTACGGTGTGCGATCCATTAGGTTCCTTTTAGCGAGGTAGTGGGCGATTAAAAAACCATTTTACATCGATTGTGAATTGAAACTATTTTCAATTCTCCCTTTAGTGATTACACACGTTTAGGGCTTCCACAAACCATGAGTGACACCTAGCAGCATATCATGGTTACCCAAGCTAATCAGAAGAGGTGGAGAACCTATTCAGTTCGGGATTACAAATGCAATA